GCAAAGTATCTTCTGGAAATTGCCTGCTTGGAGTGGAGACTCATTGCCGCACCTCCGAGTCTGCTCGCTGCTTCCGCAATGTGGCTTGCGAGATTGAGCCTTGGGAACGAGACTTGGGTATGCCTTGTGTAATCCTCATATTCATACATAGCTGATGATTGCTAGACCCCCAATTTGGCCCACTACTCTTCTTACCCCGAGAGTGCTCTGATCCCTACGGCAAATCTAATGTTAAATTACATACTCAAACCCATTAAACATGAGTCCTTCTTCCGCAAGTATGCACGCAAAAAGTATATGAAGGTAGTCGTGTTCTATTTGTAACACTTATATGATCTAAACCATTGTTCTGCAGGTCAGCGTATACATGAGGCGATGGGCGACCAACCGTTGGTCTGAAGGCACCGCGGTTAACCTCAAAGCAGAGTTGCCCGCTCTCAAAGCCCAATGTCGTGCAGACAGAGCTCAGAACGGATACCGAGACGACGCGGACGACGACGAATTATTGGTCACGGAACAAATCCTAATACCTACTCGTAAAGTGAAGTAACCGGACGGATCAATTATATTTCTTTCCTTCCCCTCTCTTCAGTTTCACCTATGTTATGGAGTTTCGAAGCTCATTTGTTTCAAGTTCATGTTTCTGTTTGTCGCCGTTCTCGAAGTTCAAACTTCTATCGCATTGAATCCATGTTCTATTATCCAGCATCATCCATGGCATTTATTCACACCTCTCTTACGGGACTGTATTGAAAAGTCGGCTCTCTCCCTTTTAAAGTTTAATGGAATCTCAACATCCTATCGCTACATATACATTTTCGTCTTCACTCTTTCTCTTGTTCTCGTATAAATTGATTCCAATCTAGAGCTCTCGCCCGTTGCTCTCTTACTGTAGGTATGTTTCGCTTTGTTTTTATATTCATTTCGCTATTCGTTTTCGGCCTGTATCTTTTGGTCACTTTTCTTTTTCTTATTATTATGTATACGCTATCTTCCCGGGATGTATACCTTTTAGAACTTGCCCCGCCACGATATACATACAGTTGTCACTCTTAGAATAGCTGTCGCTGCGATGTTTTCTGGGCTTATTGGGAAACTTGCATGAGGAAACCGTGTATAATGAAATCACAAGCTTTAACATTACTACTTATTCTGAAGCCAGACTAGTAATGAAATACTTATAATCAAAGTGGACTTTGGAAAAAATGATTACAGAATCGAGGGTATTGGCGTGCGAACTAAACAAAGCCAAACAAAGGACCTGGACGCGCGTCGCGTCTGACACGAACATCTTTCACACCCTTTCACCACCATGTCTGACCCTACCAAGGTAGCCATTCCCGTTCCATCCAAAGATCCAAAGGCGAAGAAACCAGAAGAGGCTGATAAAGAAGAAGGAACTTCAAAGTTGAAGAAGGATGAAGAGAAGAAGGACGGCGAGGGCGAAGGCGACGAGCTTGTAAGATGGACTTCGAAATTATCATCGAATGCTCTAATCTTTGATTTTAGTCCGAAGAGGATCTTCAGCTACGGTCTGAGCTCGAAATGCTTGTCGAACGATTGAAGGTAAAACCTCTTGCAGCTCATTCGAAATGACAGAGCTTGAAGCCGCTGCACAGGAACCTAACACTGATCTCTATCGACCTGCCCTTGAATCCCTCCGGACGCTTATCCGAACATCAACTTCTTCGATGACCTCAGTACCCAAACCTCTTAAATTCCTCCGACCACATTTCCCGGACCTTCAAGTGTTATACGAGACCTGGCCAGCTTCAGAAAACAAGGTATGCCCATCCTATCATGCAGCAGACACTCGACTGATTATTCTTCAGAGTCATTTTGCAGATATCTTGTCTGTACTAGCCATGACTTACTCTGACACGCAGCCCCGAGGAACTCTGAAGTACCGTCTACTCTCAGCTTCCCTCAGGCCAGACAACTCCCCTTTGGTTGACCCTGGATCCTGGGGTCACGAATACGTTCGACATCTTGCTGCTGAACTCGGTGAAGAATTCGAGTATCGAGAAGAATCTGAAGACGGGATTCCTGCCGATGCGAAAACTCCCAAAGTCGAGCTTCCAGGCACGCTCGAAGAACTTCGGTCACTCACGAAAGAATGTTCCACCTTCCTGCTTAACCATAACGCTGAACCCGATGCTGTCGATTTGCTGCAAGAATTAGAGATGATAGAGGAGATTGTCAATTTGGTGGACGAGAACACGTTTGATAGAGTGTGTCAGTATATGACGCGTTGTGTCAGCTTCCTTCCTCCGCCAGACGATATCACCTTCCTTCAAACTGTCCACAAGATTTACGTCCAGTTCCAGAAATTCCCTGAGGCGATTGCTCTCGCCATTCGGTTGGGAGACAGGGATATGGTTCGAGATGATTTCAACGCTGCTGGCAATCCGTACGTGTTTTCTCTGTCTTGTTTTTCCATCGAGAGCTGATTTCAGCTTCAGTGTCATGAAACGTCAATTAGCGTTCATTCTTGCCCGTGCCCAGATACCCATCGAGTGGTTACAAGCTGACAGCGCGGACGGTGAAGAAGAGGAAGAGTTCCCAACCGAATTACTAGAATGCCTCAGCAATACTCGTCTCAGCGCGTCGTTCCGTGAGTTTGGAAAAGAAATGGGTGTGACGGAAGCCAAGAGCCTAGAGGACGTGTACAAAACACATCTGGAGAATACTCGTGAGTGCCAACCTTCGACTTCATTATTCTTTCTGATTTCTTCATTCCAGGAACATCATCGAGCGTCGACTCCGCCCGTGGTAACCTTGCTGGAACTTTTGTCAACGCGTTCGTGAACGCTGGTTTCGGTAACGACAAACTCATGATCGAGGCTGAGGAGGGTAGTAGTTGGATTTACAAAAATAAGGACCACGGTATGTGCTGTACCTCCTGATATCGTTTCTGTCTCTGAGATTTCTTGTAGGTATGATGAGTGCAGCGGCGTCTCTCGGTCTTAGCGTGCTGTGGGATACCGAAATGGGTCTTACACATATCGATAAATACACATACTCCGCTGAAGAATACATCAAAGTGATTCCTAAACCTTTGACCCTCAATTTGAATACTTATTACTTTTCTTTTTCAGGCCGGTTGTTATCTCGCTATTGGTATATCCAACGCCAGTGTCCGCACGGAAACAGATGCCGTTCTTGCTCTCTTGGCTGAGCACGTTGAGAACAAGTCTGTCCCTTTACGAACTGGTGCTATCATGGGTCTTGGAATGGCCTATGCTGGATCTCAACGCGAAGAGGTCATGGCCACCCTTCTTCCTTATGTCGCAGACGAAGACGTTTCTATGGAAATTTGCAGTCTGGCTGCATTGGCTCTCGGATTTGTTTTCGTTGGTAGCGAAAACGGTGAAATTACGGGAACGATTCTGCAGGTGTTGATGGAAAAGGCTGAACGAGAGGACAAGGAACTAGAAGAGAAATGGGCGCGATTTTTGGCTTTGGGTCTGGGTCTGCTATACCTAGGTATGCATTACTACAAGTCCAAGTCGGGTCGTTTCTTGTACTGACATTTTTTTTTAAGGTCAGCAGAACGGCAGTGATGCTACTCTTGAAACCTTGAAAGCCATTGAGAAACCAATCTCCAAAACGGCGCAAGTCATTGTTGAAGCTTGCGCATTTGCAGGCACAACCAACGTTCTTCGTGTTCAAAAGATGCTTCACGAGTGTGATGAGCATATCGTCCCACCCAAGGAAGATGAGAAGAAGGACGGGGACAAGAAGGATGGCGAACAGAAGGACGTGAAAAAGGAAGATGAGGAGACGAAGGAGGAACCGCCTGTCAAAAAGGATGATACTTTCCAAACCTTCGCCGTCATTGCCATTGCCTTGATCTCTATGGGTGAGGAAATTGGTTCTCAGATGTCTATGAGACAGTTTAACCACCTTGTGAGTTATTTTCTCTTGTTTTGCTGCATTTTTTTTTACCTGTCCCGCAGATGCATTACGGCGAGCCGAATATACGGAAAGCCGTTCCGCTGGCTATTGGTCTTGTCAACGCCTCTAATCCCCAGCTACCGATCCTAGAAACGTTGTCGAAATACAGTCATGATAATGATCTCACTGTGGCGCTCAATGCCATCTTTGCTATGGGTCTTGTTGGCGCTGGTTCGAACAATGCCCGACTAGGGCAGATGCTACGACAGCTTGCCGGCTACTACCACAAGGAAGCTGACTGCCTGTTCATGGTGCGGATAGCACAAGGACTGGTTCACATGGGCAAGGGAACTATTGGGATTAATCCATTCTTCTCTGACCGCAGTATCATGCACAAGCCTGCGGTGGCGGGACTTTTAGCTGTGCTGACTGCCTTCACGGACGCCAAAGGATGTAAGTTGTAATGTAATCTCATGAACGACTGAAAGCTGATCTTCGTTCATGGACAGTCATACTGGATAAGCAACATTGGATGTTGTACTTCCTTGTGAATGCCATGTATCCGCGATTCATGATCACACTGGACGAAGAGCTCAACAGTCTCCCGGTAGCGGTTCGCGTTGGTCAGGTAAGATTTCCCCCCAAGTTACCATTCGGATTGTTTCCCCGATGCTAAATCAACTGCAGGCGGTCGATGTTGTCGGACAAGCTGGCAAACCGCGCACGATATCAGGTTTCCAGACACATACAACGCCGGTACGTCTCGGGACGACGGAGCGTGCAGAGTTGGCAACAGAAGAGTTCATACCGTACGCTGCGGTCCTAGAGGGCTTTGTTGTGTTAAAAAAGAACCCTGGATGGGAGAGCGAGGATAGTCGGATGCAGCTGTAGAATTGAATATCTGTTTTAGAGATGTCTGAATGCCTTTAATTTTTGATCAAGTCAAACGGAAAATTCGCCTCGGGAGTTCTACAATGCAAAAATGAGGGCTCGTAGCTTGATCGTCTCTCCTTACAGCAAGTAGTCAGATAAAGGTACGAAAAAAAAAAAAGAAAAAAAGACGTTACTGGATTATTATATGCTTTAACTCCTCAATAATTATTGGCCTGATGGTCTAGGAGTATGATTCGTTGTTAGGGTTGCGCTACTGCTTGCCGGTCTTTTCGACGAGGTCCCGGGTTCAATTCTCGGTCAGGCCCTCTCATTGTTCTTCCTTTTTTGATATTTTTAACAACTATTACCTAACGATGCCTTGTTATCTGACTGTCATCGTATGAAGGTGTTGACACGGTTGTGGTGCGGCTGGGCAGTAGCGCGCGCCTTACCTTCGAAGAATCAAGGACTCAGGAGGGAAATGCGGGGAAATCGCTCACAGTATCGGGCGCCTAAGCTTTCCGGGAAAATTCAGTGAGCTTTTCCTATCAATGTTATGGCGAAGAAGAAACAATCCGGTGGCAAACTCTCGGTCAAAGCAGCAAAGAAAGCAAAGGCCGCAGCCAAAGTAGAAAGGAAAGAGAAGAAAGGCCAATCGAAAGGAAAAGCAAATGAGGAGGATCTAGAGAGCATTCTGGAACAAGTACGCGTTCTTCCCCTAGTTCTGTACTCGTAAATCTTATGCCAGCTGCCAGTAGATGCGACAAGATTGGGAACAAGCCCATTCTGTAACGGAAGAGCTGGTTGAAGGTCCTCCCAGCCGAAGAGCTAATGCTACCTTGACCGCGTGCCCGAGTGGAAATTATCTATGGTTTATCGGCGGAGAGTATTTCAATGAAGAAGGAAAGGCAGTAAGTCAAGCTACAGTATAATCGCGCAATAATCGTTTGATTTGGTTTCTTTCAGTATTTCGTAGGTTGATCTATGCGCCTCTACGATATCATCAAGACTCAGGCCGATGACAGTACAACGATGTTTTCCGGTATTCTCCAGAAAAGGTGAATTAAGCTCACAGTTAGCCCTTCGCCGATCCGATTCCGATAACGATGTAGGACGAATGGAAAAAATTTGTCTCCCCAACCTGTCCAGGTCCTCGGTCAGCTCATGCGGTCGCCGCAACAACCGCTGGAGGTGGAAAACTATTTCTATTTGGTATTTATTTATTTATTTATTTATTTTGCTTTCCTCTGTTTTGGAACTTCTAAGCCTCAATGTCCTTAGGCGGGGAATTTTCCTCCCAAAATCAAACAACCTTCTACCATTACCGCGACTTCTGGTGCTTTGATATATCCACGCAGTCTTGGGATAGGATCGAGACAAAAATCAGGCCTACGGCAAGATCGGGTCATCGGTATGCTTGTTCTTGTCTTTAGTTCTCCCGAAAGACTGGATTACCTTAGAATGGCCGTATGGAAGCACTATCTGGTTCTCTTTGGAGGTTTCTATGATCCCGGGATCACTAGTGAGCGTTCTCTTTTTTGCGTTGCTGGAGGATGAAATCGATACGTTTCATAGCACGATATCTCGATGATCTATGGGTGTTTGACACTCTGGAGTACAAGTGGAGGCAAATCGAGTTCAGAATTAACGAAACCAAACCTTCGTGAGTATTCATCTTGGACTTGATGCTTGAAAGGACGTTTAGGTGCCGCATCACTAGGCCTCGAAGTGGGTTCTCCTTTCTTTCTACCCCTGAAGGAATTCTTTTGCATGGTCAGCCAATCTTCTTCTTTCCGACGTCCTTTCCTGACGGGGAGTTCTCTGTTGCTAGGCGGCTATTGCAAAGAATATTCCAAAGGCAAGCGTCCTGTCGGAATTATGCTCGAGGACACTTGGATGTTGAAGATGACTTTGTTCGATGCCTCTGAACCGAGCAGCGCTAACCAAGCGAGCACTTCTGCTACTGGTAGTGCCAAGCCAAAGAAATCCAGCGCATCAGCTTCGTCAACGGGAGCGAGTAAAAAGAATGCAGACCTTCTCACTGTTAAATGGGAACGCAGAAAACGGCCCTCCACAGCGTATGCACCTCCGTTGCGCTCTGGGTGTACCATGACGTCGTGGATGAACCGGGATATGGGTGTGATGTTTGGTGGCGTTACAGATGAAGATACGAGCGAGGAGACGTTGGAGAGTGTGTTTTGGAATGATTTGTATGTTTCATTAATTCTAGTTTTCGCTCCTGTCCTAACAATTTCGGAATGCAGGAACGGCTATCAATGGACCGGGAAAGGACGATGGGTATCTTTGGCATTGAGGAAGCCGAAGAAAAAAGGCGGTGGGGCTAAGAAGAAAGCTGCTGCCCAGTCTGCTCAAAAGGACAATGCTAGCGACTCTGACTCTGACGTAAGTGCACGACCGCTCAAGTACCTTTGACAGTCATTTATTCTCTCCCTTATTGACCTATAGGGTACATCGAATACGCCCGTGGTAAAAGCAACGCCTCGGGCTCCTTCGAGCGTGACTACAAAACGAGCTATTGGTGACGATCCAGACGACCCATTACTCACCACCCCACTTCCTCGATATAACGCAATGTTAGCTGTATTAAGGAATACTCTTTACATGTGGGTAATACTGCTCCGAGTCTCATCTTGTGGTACTAAGGTAGCGACTCGCTTTTCTTAGTTATGGAGGCATATTCGAACGTGGCGCGCGAGAATACACCTTGGACGATTTTCACTCCATTCCGCTGGACAAGATGGATAGATTTGTGTGTTTGAAGGAGAGCGACGTTGTTATTGAGGAGGGAGATGACGAATCGGACGAGGATGAGAGCGATGATGAAGAAGACGATGGGGATGAAGGGGATGAGGATATGGACATGGATCCAGACGAATATGAGCGCAGGGATCGGGACGAAGAGAGTCTTGAGGCTGTCGACTCGGATGACGAAGGCACAGTTATCGGGGCTGAAATTGAGTATCAGAAGGACGGCGACAATGACGACAACCACTCGGTGACCACGACCTTGAGTTCGACGAGTTCGGAAGTAGATGCAGATGAAGAGGTTCTTGTATCTTTCCCTCATTTTCTGATCTACTAGTTGACTTTTTCCTCGTCTGTGTAGACTGATGCTGCTCTATCTCTCCGTTCAAAAGCCACTGCATTCATGGGCGTATCCAAGGATCTTACAAGATCCCCCGAGGATGTACTTAGTACACCACTTCCCGGAGAATCACTGGCGATGTTTTATTCTCGTTCTCGTTAGTTGATTTGACTGGACTCTTCCCTTGCTTGCTTACTCACTCTCGGTGCTTCTGCATAGGTGAATACTGGGCACAAAAAGTTCACGAATCAGACATCCACTCTAGTGCTGAAGCTCGCGGGAAACAATTACGAACAGCTGGGTTTAGTATGGCTCAGGAGCGTTACAGTGAGTGGTGCCGATATGCACTAGGTTGTGTTCGCTGACGATGAAACCTTACTTTTCTATGTTTGCTATAGCCGAGTATAAGCCTATACTTGAAGAAGTGGAAAGGATGTTAGCCGAGGCTGGTCTAGATGAGGAAGAAATGAGAAAGAGTGCCGCAGGTCATGGCGCTGGAGGAGGGGGAGCGAGCCGGAATCGGAGATGAAATTTGCTCCAGTAAACATACCCAGGCTCATCGGGAGTTCTTTGTGGGACTAGGTATGCTTGTTTGAGAAAATTTCATCTCAGTATAAAGACGATGGATGCAAGCCCAGTTACCTCAGCCATTATGGCAGCTGAGTTAAGTAAAACTTGAGCATATTTCCCCAAAAGCCGTACAGTGATGTGCTACTGTTTACATAGAAATACATACATACATATAAATTCAACTGGTCTGCTTTTCACGGATCAATCCTCAAGGATGCAACAACACCTTGGTGTATCCATCAATTCTTTTGTCGAATTTCTCGTACGCTTCGGCTGCATTATCCAACGAAACATTGTGTGAGACGACGAAGGACGGTTTCGCGCGCCCAGCAATGATGAGATCCCGAAGGTAACGGTTGTATGCCTAAAAAGACACGTTCAAAAACGCACTTCAATCTGAAAGATTAGGAAGCAAGCACACCTTGACGTTGCATTGTCCGGTTCCGACAGTAAGGCCCTTCTCGAACAGTTTACCTATCCAATGAAAAACAATTCGCAGGCTGGAACAAACACGGGACCAGACACCTGTACGCACCGAAAGGGAACGAAATATACCCTCTGAGAGACCATTCATCAGGATTGCAGAGATAACGAACGAAATCATGGACTCACTTGGCCGAAGCCGAATCAGGCGCTCCAGGGTCACTGGGTACGTATAGACCAGGAATGCCAAGTCCCCCAGTCGGCCGTACCACTTTGATGAGACCTTCTAGGACGGCATTCGGCTGCTCAGTCTTTCCATCGCTGGTTACAGCTTGATATCCAACCGCTGTAGGGAGGGTTGGTTAAGGCCACAATATACCACACATGATAGGAAAACCTACCATCTACCCCGCGGTCGACCTCCTTACTGTGTTACAAACCGTATCATTGTATCAGTAGATATTCACTCATGACGCGATACCTCGCACTGACCCTCCCCGTAACTTAATAATCTGTTCCGCAGGATCACCAGTTGAAAAATCGATAGGCGTAGCACCAATTTCTTTCGCTTTCGCCAAACGTTCGGGAACCCGGTCGACCACGAAGACGTCAGAAGCTCCACGAAGGACAGCGGAATAGGCCGCCATCAGACCTTGCATGTACGGTATTCAGTGAGCAAATTACACAGTAGTACAGTGCATCTACGACACATACCAACAGGGCCAGCGCCGAAGACCGCAACAGATTCGCCCGGACGGAAGCCCTGATATTCGCACTCTTTCGACAAAATTTCAGAGTACAGAGCGCGCGATTACTTACCGATAATTGGACGCCGTGCCAGCCCTGTTGAATATCATGAGAAGACCAATAGACGAGTACTAGAATCACGGAGACATACGGTAGGGAAGATATCCGCTAGAAGGGCGAAATCTTCCTCGTGTTCCGTTCCCGGGGGAAGTTTCAAAGCATTAAAATCGGCAAACGGTACACGGATGTATTCCTATCAGTAAAATGAGATCTCTCTTCATCTAATGACATTCTTGAAACCCATACGGCTTGTCCACCTGGATAAGGACCCATTGCGACATAACTTGCATGCACGTGAGAATGGTATCACAAATTCTGTGTAGACATACCCATAGGCTCTGGAAAGGACAGTAAGTGAGGTAATATAGTAATCATGATTGTCTTACCCTCCAGCCTACGCGGACGTCAGATTTGAGTCTG